GGATGAATTCTTGAAGGGAGTATTTCCCTTGCATGCAAGCCAGATATTGCGAGCGATAGCGAAAGTCACTGTTGGGTGGCAGGAACATTGCCTTGAGTTCGGTCTCAAAGACCGCGAAAAATGGGAAGCAGTGGCGGTCCGTCAAGCGTTTGGAGAACACCCAATCTTCCGCACGACCTTTCAAAGGCGACATCGCAAAAGCTACGCGGGTTGCGTCGTCGGAGATACACTGAGCGTCAGCAGCAGTGCTGACTTGTAAAAGCCAGTGGAGGAGTTTGTCCGACTGCGCTCCGCCGAATTTGGCCACATCCAGCTTGATCGACTTAAGGCGAGAAGTCGATGGTGCTTCCAACTCCGAAGCGCGCGTGAGGCCCGCGATCTCATCGTGAGCGATTCGGAGAGAATCTTGGAGGGTGCAACCATGGGCGACATGGTGGAGACTTGGTCTTCTAGGGTCGCGATTTCAACTAGTCATCCGGTTAGTAACCGGATGATGGGCATGGCTGATGGGCACGGTTACACAGGTGGCCAGATACTGTACCAGGGAATCGCCTGCAAAACAATCCGTCCTATCCAAGAGACGCTGGAGTGGAGCATGCGCACTGGCGAGGCGGCAGCAGCAGCCCTCAGGTTTGCATTCTATACAAACATCAGCAAGAAGGTTCAATCGGATGCCTACGTTTTCTTGTGTGGCATAGTCCAGATGCAGCGCCGCTGGTAGGAGGGCACGCATATTGGCTGCGTCGCGAAGGGCCATGCTCACATCTTCTGGGTCCATTTTGAACTGCCTCGCAAGTGCCTAGTAGCGACATGAGGGAGGTGGGATTGATAGGTCAACGTGCACAATAGACCTCTAACCCAGAGATGTAATGACTGAGTGGCTAAGAATGGGCTGATGACCCAGTGATAATGTTTTTAAGGTTATGAATCGTCGCTCAAGCAGGAAATATCCGACGAGGAGACGAGATCCCCAACGAAGTGATCGAGTCATTTCCAAACTCTACCCAGTGTTCGCCCAAGGTATTTAGGTGTCAAATACCCAATTTAT